TGATCCTGCTTGAAGGGGTAAGAGTAATGTGTTAATAACTTCATGAAATTCTGCATCCTCATGTTGATCAACCTCTGAAAACATTATTTTTTCATGAACTAATTCTCTTTCAAGTTTTACTATTACAGAGAATTTAACCGGTTCATCCTTTTCTTCACTATCTTCAAATTTAATATTGATAAGCTCTTCAATATCATGGATATTATAAAGAAGGTCATCACTGCTATTTTCGACACTATCTAAATCTACAGAATCATCTTCATTTAAGGGTAGCAATTGAATATTTTCGTCTAAGGGTGATAGTTGAATATCATCATTTAAGATAAGTGGTTGAGTACTTTTATCACTAATTGATTTGGCTTTTTTATTTGCTCGATATCTCTTATCTTGATCAGAACAGGCATTACATGAGGCATTGACTACCATTCTACTTCCACTCATTCTTGTGAATTCAGCAATAGGCTTAAGCTTTCTGCAGCGAGTGCAGGTTTCAGTTCTACTGACAATGGCAACATTGGTAGCTTCATTTGAAGTTGACATTTTTGCTTATTTAAGGTTTTTTTTTTTTTACTTTGGTTCTTAAAAAATATTTTAATTTGTAGATAATAAAATTTCTTTACGATAGAATCACGAAGGTTGAAAGCAACTGTTTATATATATATTTGTAGTTACTAATATAATACAATTCATAATGATTTAATGAATAAAATGACGCGATCATCGGCCGAATTGACCATTTTACTAGATTCGGCCGGTCTTAATAAATTCAAATATAGTAATTTTTATTTACTTACTTTGGCTGTCTTGTACAACCGCATAATTAATATATGCAATATGCAAGAACGCATATATATATATTTTTACACTTAATTCGGAAATTTTTCTTTTTATTTATCTATTTTAATACTATAAAAAAACCCTTAACTGCATTCTTGATTTTAACCTTATTCATCTAAATGTTGATCTTTTTAAAAATAAAAAAATGGTCATTGAGAAATGTTTGTTCAAACTTTGAATTTAGTAGGTCAGAAACTATAATCACGTGTTAAGAAAAAAAATAAAAATTTTCAAACCTTTAAATCAAAATATCTTGGTGACTACCTGACCAAATTCCACAAATCTTTTTTTTTTTTTGAATTCTATAAATTGATAGAATTCAAATAAAAAACAATTTACCAAACTTGATCAGATGGTAATGGCGATATCTTCACTCAAAGTTAGAGAAAAATCAAACCGCTTATCAAAAATTGAAGCTGCACCAATTTTTTAAAAAAATTTGAACGAAGATATCTCCACAACCGCCTGACCAAATTCTATGGAATTTTTTTTATTTGAATTCTATGAATCCACAAAATTCAAATAAAAAAGATTTCATCAAACTTGGTCAGGTAGTTACGGAGATATCTCCACTCAAAGTTATAGAAAAATCAACCTGCCTATCAAAAATAGAAGCTGCGCCGATTTTTAAAAGTTTGAACGAAAATATCTCCACAACCACCTGATCAAACCCAATGAAAATTTATTTATTTGAATTCTATGAATCTTAGAATTTCAAATAAAAAAGTCTTATCGAGTTTGGTCAGGTGGTTGTGGAGATAACTTCGCTCAAACTTTTAAAAAAATTCGTGCAGCTTCTATTTTTGATAGGCAGATTGATTTTTCTCTAACTTTGAGCGAAGATATCTCCATAACCACCTGACCAAGTTCGATGAAATCTTTTTTATTTAAATTCTGTGGATTCATAGAATCCAAATAAAAAAAATTCCATAGAATTTTGCCAGGTGGTTGTGGAGATATCTTCGCTCAAAGTTAAAGAAAAATCAAACCGCCTATAAAAATAGAAGCTGCGCCAATTTTTTTAGAAGTTTGAGCGAAGATATCTCCACAACCACCTGGCCAAACCCGATAAAACTTTTTTTATTTGAAATTCTAAGATTCATAGAATTCAAATAAATAAATTTTATCGGGTTTGATCAGGTGGCTGTGGAGTTATCTTCGCTCAAACTTTCAAAAAAATTGGCGCAGCTTCTATTTTTGATAGGTGGGTTGATTTTTCTATAACTTTGAGCGAAGATAACTCCGTAACCACCTGACCAAGTACGATGAAATCTTTTTTATTTGAATTCTGTGGATTATAGAATTCAAATAAAAAAAATTCCATAGAATTTGGTCAGGTGGTTGTGGAGATATCTTCGTTCAAACATTTAAAATAACTTGGCACAGCTTCTATTTTGATAGGTGGTTTGATTTTTTTCTGACTTTACAAATTCGAAAAATTTTTATATTTAAATTTACCAAGATATTTTGATTTAAAATTTTGAAAATTTTCATTTTTCATTTCTTAGTCCTGTAGATTCTCCGGTCGGAAACCATATCGGAAATGATCTTCGGTCACGTGATGACGCATTATTTCTGCCACCACTGATCTACTAGATATATTGCATAGGCGAAAAAAAACTCAAAAAATTTAGATAATAAACAAAACAAAGTGCTTAGCAATATACTTTTTTTTTAAAAAAAAGAAGCATTTTTTTCTTTAATCAAAATACTAAATAGATTTATTTAAAAAAATTTATTATCACAAATTTTTATAATAATAATTAAATTTTAAATTAATATATTTTTTTTACTTTGACTACCTTGTCAATATTTTTTATTAAATTTAATTTGTTGGTAAAATAAAATATATATTTGTGCTATTTTAATTTTATAGTTTAACATTTTGCAGTTACTTCTAAGAACACTTACAAGTAATTAGTCATACTAGACACTACTAGACTAACTCAAAAAACCTTGTCAGACTATTATCTAACAATAAAATATTACCAATTTGATAACATTTTCTTGTAGAGAAGTGAAAAAACACTAATATTAATACTAATATTAAAAAAAATAAAAAATAAATAAAAAAAAATTAACTTTTTCCACTGATTATCAAAACACAAAATTCTAAAAAACAAAAAAACTACAAGAAATATATGAAAGCTACTAGAAAACCAAACTCTAAGCTTTAAGAAAAAAGAAAGAAGATCACAAAAAATACTCAGTCTTTTTAAAGACTTGAGTAAAAAAAGCAAAAATAGCAAAGAAATAGAAGGAGTTATGAAAAATTGTTAATTTTTTTTGTTTTTTTGTAAATTTTTGAAGAATCAGCATTGATCTTGAATTGCAGATTTGTTTTGATAATATAAGAATCACAATATATAATAAAGAGTAAACAAAAAAAATATGAAAAAAATCACATAACAAAGATGACAACCAATTACAACAAATAATAACAATTAACAATAATAGAAAAACAACAAGTCATGTGAAGCAAAATTTAGCAAAATGTTCTGGAAAAAAGATTTTTGCAAGAGAAGAAATATTAGAAGTTATCCAGGATATAATAGCAGCTATAACTAATGAAGAAATAAACTTTCAAGTAAAGCAAATAATGACAAAACAGGCTAAGAAAAAACTCATCACAGAAAAAAAAGCTAAGTCACAAATAGAAGAGCTCTATGAAGAATTATAACAATATATAAAGAAAAACTAGAGTATACAGAACTTGCATTTATAGAAAGAAACTACTATAGTTTTTACAAATCAAAAAAAAGTCAACAAAGACAATACAACAAAACAGCTCTAAAGTTTTTAGTATAACAATTCAAAGAAACTACTCAAACTACTGCAACAAACCAATACAAAACAAGAAGGAAAGCCAAAAAAAAAATAATAATACAAGTTTAGCAAAAGAAAAAACAAGCTGCTGAAATAAAATTGAAGTTAGAACTAGATTAGAGCAAGTGACTTCAAGAATAAAAAAAATTCGACAAAGATAGTATAATAAAGCAACATTAAGGACTCTAGTAATATAATTTAAAGTATCCTTAGAATTCGATGCAGCAAACCAGAAGAGAAAAAAAAAATAAAAAATAAAAAAGAAAAGAAAAGTAAAGAACAAGACATCCTAGGTCTTATAGAATCAAAGGTGCTAAACAAGATTCAAGAAAAAACAAGACCAAAAATTGTATCAACAATTTAGCAGAATAGTTAATAGAAGTAATATACCAAGCAAGCATTAAAAACTCACAGTCTAATAGTAAAATCCAAAAAAAAAGAAGAAAGAATTGCTAATTAAATAGATACACTATATAAGGCTCCAATAGAATCTTGACATGAATTTTCTACAAGATATACCAGTAGTTAGATTGAAAGAAGCCAAGAATTGAAAAAAGAAAAAAAATAACGCTTTATTAGAAAAGTAAAAAAGATTTTTGTAGAAGTCTTTAGAAACCAAAAAATTTTTATCAAAATACAGAAAAGGTTTCTAGAAAAAAGACCAAGTACTAAAATAAAAAAAAAATAAAAAAAAA